ATCATTATATATACACATACACACACACGTCTGTCACACAAGTAACCGTACTGACATTTATTTTTTTTTCATTTCCAATATATGAAGATCACTATGGGTCATAAGAAAAACAAACCTCAAAAGACAACAAGACATTATAAAGTAATAACTTGTGATATGAGCACAATGTTGAAAATTGTGAAAGAGTTGATCAAAGAGCAATGAAAAAAGAAATTGAAAACATTTCAAGACCAAGCAAAAAGCTTAGCTATGAAAATGTCACAAAAAGTGATTTAAGAAAAATTATAAAGGTAATAAGCAAAAAAGTGAACAGGTGAAGAAGAAAAACATTTGAGGAAGCTGATACTACAGATATAAACATAGAAAAGGTGCAGAATATTAAAAACATTGGCTAAAGATATGAAAGTGTCGTGATAACAACAAACAAATTACTAAATAATCCCTAACCCTTATTACTTGACTATGTAGTAGTCTGGAATCAAAATAATTAACAATTAATAATAAAAGAAAAATTAAATTTAAGCAATAAAAATACTTTAAAATACAGATAAGAATGGTAATTAATAATAACTAAAGAAAAAGATTATAAAAGCATAGTTTAATATATATAAATTACTCCCATGATGCATCAGAACAAGTGTTTTACTGCCAAATGAAACAATAATCAAAACTTTTCTCTCTTTGTTTTTCAACTGCCAGATGAGACAGATGTCCTGGTCAGTTCTCAGATAAAACATGTTGCTACCAACATAAGTAAAATTTCTTTATTTCTGTATACATTGATGTTCTTTAAAATATATATACATATATATTAAATATTCTATCATTTCTCTGAAATGTATAAAGCATTTTATTGTTTTTGGCTATGCTTATTTCGTGGTATCTAATATATGGTTTTGTTTGTAATGTTATAATCCTCTTTGTGATTTGAGGATACCATTTTAACCTCTAAAAATACATATATAAAAAAATTACAAGGCCAACACACTTACCAGAACACCCACAACTAAAGCAACCAAAGTACTACTTTCAAGTCGACATCACAAAGAGAAATGTATAAGTTAGATGAAAAAGTACATAAAAATGGATTTCTCAATAGAAATTATAATGATGAATGCAGAACTACATTGGATGGACCTGATAGTTAGGCTAGAGGAGGGTCTTTCAAAGAAATTGTCAACCAACATTGCTTAGAAAATAACAGTGAGGAGGTGGACTAGTATTGTTGTTAGTAAAATTCAATCCGTCAATCTTGATGATGAGGCCAAAATAAATGCAAAGAATTATTCTAAGTTCTTGAACAGGATATTGTATTTTTTATGTTACAAGTTATAACCAAGATGACTTAAACTGGGATCATTCAAAAGGTACTATGTGTAGAGCATTACATAAACTTAAAAACATTCAAGTGTTCTTCAAATAAAATTACTTTATTATCTTAATATTTTTAGCATGCCCATCTTTTACAAAATTTCAAGATTTAAAATTTTTTTTTTATATAAATTTATTCTTTAGAGACTGCCAAGTTTTTCCACTTCAGAAATTCAAACAAAATAGCATTTTCTATTTGGAATTTGAATTGTGGTATCTTTTCATGCATTAGCAAATGTGTTTGTTATTTGGTCAGCCATTGTGTTATCAGCAAATAACTTCAAGTTATAAAATCTCTCACAATTATCAATTCTTCTACTTAAGCCAATATTTAATCTGATAAAATGAAAACAGAAAAACTAGAAAATTCCCTAAGGCATCAATATTAAATCTCATGAAATTTGCTACTAATTAACTGAATGAATTTACATTTGAATTCAGTCAAGTTTGCAGAAGAAATTCAATTTCAGTTTAAGTCAATATTACTTCAATGTTAGGTAATATTAGCCATTTCCTTACAAGGAAACATTCAGCATTCATTAACCGAGCAGCCAATACTGCTTTTGGTTGAAATTTACAAAATTTTTCTTAAAACAGTTTTTCAAGAAAATAGATTTCTCAAGCACAGTAGCTATTATCACTCTTTCCAGTAATGATGGCACTTTCTTTCCTAATCTTTTATCTGAAGTAGAGTGGAATGTCAACATTTTGATTATATCATTATTTTCTCTTCAAGTTACATGTAATATCGATTTTAGTTGTTGCAAGTCATCAAGTGATGTGGTTTCTATTATTTGGTACAGTTCTTTCTTTGTTTGTGAAGTTAACATTAGTATAATTATTATTATAGTATAATTTTATTAAGAGCTTTTTCGTTAATACTACTTTATCTTAAACATCTTAGTCATTTTTGCAGTATGTAGTTTATTGATAAATTAGCTACTATTCTGTTGTACATTTCATATGCCGCATGTTTACATTAATTTTCTTTTAATTTTAAGAAGGGTATATTTGACTGACATGCATGGTATTGCTTAATAAAGAGGCACAAAGATACAAAGCCAAATGTCAGATATTGTAGCTTATTAGTATTACTTACAGGGATAATAAAAGCATGTTAACTTAAAGAATTTTTAGTTGGATAACAGTTATTTATATATTATCAGAATTGTACTGACATTTTTTTTTTGAGTTTATGTTCTTTTACTTTCTATGAAGTTAGTCAAATGGTCAAACAGAAGATATACTTTAGAATCCTATTATGCCTCTTTAATTTCTACTGAATAATGAATATTAGGTGTAATTTTATTTAAAGATTTTTTTTAGGTAAAGAGTCTCTCTCTCTCTCTCTCTCTCTCTCTCTCTCTGCATGTGCATTTAAATTTTACAAGCATATTGATGCTTTCAGATCTAAAGTGTACAATATCTACCCACTAAAGGGACATGTTCCAAGAATCTTGCAAATTGCACCAAGCACAATATAGACTATATGGTTTAAGTTATAAAATTAAGCACAATAAGAGATTAACAATAATAACAACAAATAAAACTAAACAATATCTATATAATACTAAAGCTTTAATCTTGTATGTATATGTATCTCCAAGATACAGCTTAAATGATAAATAATACACCAACCAGTATAGAAGCATATTGTACCTTGAACTCTTGCCAAGTGCAGTCCCAAATTTCATTAAAATTGGACAAGTGATTCTTGAGCTAAAACCATTTTTCTGTTTTTACAGCATCTTTAATAGGAAATTCCATATTTGTTTTTGCTACACATTCTTATATCAATCCATGTATATAAACAAACACTTGTATAATTATATTCCAACTATTACATGTGTAAAAAATAAACATTCATAATAAATTAAATAAATTTAAAGACATAGAATACAATATATATTTATACAATTTGCTAGACTACCTTACAACATTTTTTTAATATAACTACTTGAATGGTGAAGATGCTATATATGTCACATGACTTGATGGTAAATAAATAGATGCACAGTGATTTGCTGCAATTATGTATTTTGAAATAAATGTAAAGAAGAAACAAGTATGTATAATAAAAAATATACTTATTATTTTGAAAAAGACTCCACCTTTTTTAAGCTATTACTCCAAAATTTTATGCATTTTTAACTATGAAGCCCAGTGAATCAATAAACCTTCTTTTACTTTCTTTAAATAAAAATTAAAATATGTAATTAATAATAAATTTTGGTAATATTGTTACCTCATCATTTTGTATCATGAATTGCTTTTAAAAGAAACCCAACAGATTTATGGGCAGTATTGTAATAAAAATCATGTGACATATAGAAGATTCATTCTACCATAGACCTGATTAGGCACAATAAGTGATTAACAATGACAAATAATAATAAAATAAAACAATTATAACCTTATATTGTAAGAAAAGATTTATAATAGATTTATTCTTTGTGTAAGTATTTATCTACACACATTACAAGAGAATGTGAGAAAATGTTAGTGCTTAATGTGGGATTTCAGAAATTCTGTCGAGAACTCAGTCTGTATACTGGGGTTGAATAAGACTGGTGAAGTTTTTGTCAGTTGAAATAGCTTTATACCCCATATAAGGTAATTTGGCATTTTATGGTTTATTACTATTTATTTTCTCTGTATAATAAATACATTCAGCTCTTTTTGTGGATCAGTTTTAATATTTTATATTACTAGGATCCACTTGGATTATATACCAATGGATTTGTTACCTTTACTATATATATATATATATATATATATATATATATATATATGAAAAAAATAGTTTTAAAGTATGCTATAGTTATGGCTTAAAGTGCTCCATATCAGAGAGAGAGCATATATAAATATAAAAGTGGATACTGAGGTAAAAATCCAGTGGTGTTAGTGTTTCATGCTTAGGTGATGAACACAATTTATTCTGACCAAAGAAATTGTCTTGAATTTAAAAATGTGGCAAATCTTCAGGTCATAAATTTGATAGATCTTCCATTGGATCTTTGGGACTACAGTGATTCAGTTTGAATGTGGTTAAGAAACCATAACATAACTGATGACACAAAGCATCAGACTTCTGAACAGAAATATGATGAGAACAGAATTTCAATCTGGAAATATCTTAATAGATAAATGTTTTTATTAAATTATCAAAATGGTTTAATTCTTTTGGATATTATAAAGTGATTATAGCCATTATATATATATATATATATATATATATATATATATATATATATATATATATATATTAGTACCATTCAGAATAATTATTATCCATAATTGAGCCTGAAAGTTGGAGAATCTTCAGGCAGAATTTGGAATGTGGTTGGAAACAAAACAATATTTAACTTCACTGTCTGAAAGTGATTCAAGCTTTTTATGGGAGGTGATTGGTCCTTTGAAATAAAGCTTAAAATTGTCAATTATGATGCTTTAAAATGCAACACAATGGGCAACCCGACCACCAGCATTTAAAAACATTCATAAGTACTACAATCATTAGAAGATACTATATGGAGAACATTATTACAATATGAATGTATAAAATGATTTTCATAAACATGACTTAAGTCAGAGAGCAAAATAAAATAAAATAAAATAATCCAACTCACCTGTAAGGTTGATAGATTTGCCAGCATGGCTCGCTGAAGGTAAATTTGTTCTCGAAGATACTGTGGTGTCAGAAAAACATCTTTTCCATTTGATATTCCCGAATGGACAGTAACACTGACATTTAGAATTTGAGCAGGGACATCAGTGTCATCTTGTACGTTGATGACAAAAATGTTCTTTTCGTCTGTATGCAAAATGGTTGCCAAGGCATTGATAAAGAAACGGAAAAGTGGAGAAAGAAATGCCTCACTGGTCATATTGTTGAGACGAATGGTCACACTGTGACGCAGCATATCATCAGTTACCAGACGCACGTACAAATGGCACACTGCCCTTGCCTCATTCAGGCCATCTGCAAAAATAAATATATTTAATAAAATAGATATATTTTGTACTAACATCAGGGTAATCAAATATAGTACATTTTAGAATCTCCTCTTTAAACAGTAGCACCAATCCATGCACATAAACACACATTATATATATATATATATATATATATATATATATATATATATATATATATATATATATAATTTGTAATTTGAAAAAAGACAATATGTATAAAGTAAACAAGACAATAGGAAAACTGCATGCAGTTTTAGCCAACATGTGGACATTTTCAAGTCAAAAAACAAAATGAAATTAATGAAACAAAATATCTACAAACAAAAAGTATCTCACCTTTCCTAACAGAACCTCTACTCTCCCAAGCCAATGTACACAACAAATATATCAAGAAATCAAAAGAAAACAGCTGAATCTGTTAACAAAACAATACAAACAATATTTCTTCAGGTGAAAAAATTCTCTTCAAACATACAAAGTAAATGATGTAATTTTTCAGTTGACTCAATGAATATATAATAGCATTTCTAAATTCTTCTAGTTACTAACAACATTTTGTCTTTTGTTTATAGATACTTTTTTTCAATAAGTTTATTTTGTTTTTTACCTTAAAAAAACCCACATTAGATGAAACGCATTGGCTAAAACTACATACAATTTTCCTATAGTCTTTTTTCCTTTATACATACATATATATATATTTTAAATCATTTCACCCCAAGGGCATTAAAGCCACTAAAACACAAGTGTGAAAGAATAAAAAAAAGAAAAAGAGAAACATTATTTACGATCTAGAACAATAAAAGAAGAATAAACACAAAGACAATTGTCATTATATCTAAATGCTTGAAGATCAAAGTTGGCTTGAGAGCATCAAGTTGGAAGAGAGTTCTACAAACAAGAAGTGCAAGAAAAGAAACTGTTAGCATAGAACTTATAGATACATCAAGCCAATTCAACTGTGAACTGTTACTTTCATAGTAATTTTAACATATACAATATCTGACCAGAAATGATCCAGTTATTTTGTATTAACAAAAAATAGCCTATCTAGAGTGATGGTAACTTTAGAGTACAATTAATATCTTTTCCTCTTTCCAAAAGAATCTGACAAGTTCTTTTGGAATTGCTATAACCTGCTGCATAGCATTCTTGTTAATCTCAACCATTGTCTAAAATCTCCCTTCCATGGTTTGGTTTGTTTTACAGCATATCAACTATTACTGAAGGCCTGAATGATCTTTTTCCTCTGACCATTGCTCATTTGGGAAGACATAGTGGGACTGACACAAAATGATTTTAACCTGTTCTCTTTTTAGCTGAATAACTTAAAGGATTTTTCAGTGATTCTTATGACAAATAGTGTCAAGATGGCTAAACATCTTATCTGAAAACCTGGAAAAAAGAAATTCAATTAATTCAGTGTTTTTTTATGGGATGACAATTACACTGTTACACCCAGTATATATATATATATATATATATATATATATATATATATATATATATATATATATGTGAAAAGTATATAAATATAAATAAATATATATATAATTATTTATTTATATATTATATATGGTACTTATTAGAAAGTGCTCAATATCAGAGATAGCTAACATATTTGGTTGGATAGATGTGAGTTTGTGACCTGGGTTTTCACACTTTTAGCGATCGTCAGACAAACTCTGACGACTGCTAAAGCATGAAACCCAGGGTCACAAACTCACATCTATCCAACCAAATATATATATATACACACACACACTTCATTCTATTTTTTTCCTTTTTGTCGCCTAGCAGATAACAAGTAAGCATTATCTTCACAGAGCAATTTCTTCATGAAGGAAGAACCAATTACTTGGCAATTGTTTAAAGAATGGTTATGCATAACATTTAACATATTTTGAATTGATACTTTTTGTATCTTCCTTCCTTCTTCAAACAAAAAAATTTTTCTGTCCATTTGACAACTATGATTGTCACATTTGAACAATGCTTTCAATTTCTGTCAACAGAACTTATTATTGTTTAACAAATTAAAATACTTAATTTGCTTGTGGTCAGTTGACTAAGTCTGACATTCTTTCACATTTTATTTTCAGTAAACTAGAACTAGCCTAACTTGAGTCAAGCTTTCTTGGAGGTTTGCTCTTTTGAACTGTGTGGTTTAGGATATAACAAAGCTATTTCTGTTTTTTTTTATCATTTCAGCTTAAGCCACTAAGATGAAAGACAATAGGGTGAAGGAAAATGAGAAAAACGTTTCTGAGGAGAAAGGACAATAAAAGAACAGGTTTCAAGGAAACAGAAGATAATGATTAAAATTTATTTTCTGTAGATTGTAGTTGACAGGAAAGCAAGAAACTAGAGGAAAATGTGACTAGCAAGAAGTTCTTCGTTGGGAAAGTGATTGAAGCCAAAACTGATAATATTGCCAATGAATTTCAAGATACAAAGCAAATTTATCAGACTAGATTTGACAATTCCTGGTTAAATCTTTCTTTATTTGCCATGTCTGTGTTCATTTTGCAAAATTTTAAGATTGAGTTCCTAGTTCCATCTCCTAAAGTCTTTACATTTTTTTTCACACCCAAGTAATTCCTTGCATCTTAGAGGCATTATTGCCTTGCTTGAGGTGAAATGAAATGATTAATGATGAGGTGAAAAAAACAAAAAACTGAACCAGTTTTATTTTTTTTCCATGTAGCCTATTTGATTTCATGGTGAACCTAAATAATTCAATCTACATATTATTAGATGGATCAGTTAGTATCTAATAACCATAATGAAGCCAATTATTTTAGTCTTTGTGAAAACATATGACAAAGGCAATACGCTTTATTTCCTCACATTCAAAGATCTATATTAATCACTGAAATATAAATAGAGTTTTGATTTGAATTCAGATAAAGATCAGATACAGATGGTCTCCCATTGGCAAAACATTGTTTAATGATGAATAACTTGATTAATGATTAACTGGTTTACCTAATTTCAAAGCAGTGTGGCAAATTCTAAATTTTACCTACTGGGGTGTATCTATCTCTCTCTCTCTCTATATATATATAGACACACACACACACACACACACACACACACACACACACATATATATATATATATATATATATAGAGAGAGAGAGAGAGATACATTCATATACAAACTCATATCCATACAACTGAATCCAGTTATATGGATATGAGTTTGTAACCCAAGATTACAAACTCATATATATATATATATATATATATAAAATGTCTACTTAGCTAGCAAGAGTTCATTCAAAGAAGTTTTACTGAAATTGACTATCAAGATTTGTTTTGGTTTAAGGTTTTACTGCATTTTATTGCATCTAAGCTGTCACACATCAAGATGAAATTTCTAGAATACAGGCCCAAAGTTCATAATTTTTTTTTCAGCCATTTCATGTATTTTTCAGAAGCACTAATGTTCAAAGAGAAAAGTCTTATCAGCTTCATCCTCACATTTTTAGAAAAATTTAAATATATAAAGGATACGATGTGTAAATTGTCACCATTTTATATTTTTAATTTTGACCATGCATTTTGTTTGTTTTTGATTTTGTAAACTGCACAGTATAGTAAGGTCAGTATGGCACCATCTGTGAGAAAAAAAGAGCACAATGACAAAATTCACTCTGCCAGAAATTTGGAAAGAGCATGCTGGACTGCTTGGCATTTGCACCAGAAGCTTTAATATGAACATTTCAGGGTGTTTGGGTGTCAATCTGAGGATAGTGCAGAGGATTCGGAAAGAGTTGGAGGAGTCTAATGGTGATTATGAAGGTGTGAAGAGTGATAATGTTATGCCTCCATTCATCTTCCCATGGGGCCTCAGACTCAATACGGAGGCCTACATCAAGTGCCTTGAGGAAGAAGTGCTGCCATGGATCAAGATAGTGGCTGCTAGAAGACACTATGTTTGGTAACAGGATTCTGCACCATGCCACACAAGCAAGAGAACCCAGTCATGGCTGTCAGACAATTTCTGTGACCACATCACCCCTTACATCTGGCCACCAAACTCCCCAGACTGCAAACCCCTTGATTATTATGTGTGGGGTGCAGTTGAGTAAGAAACCAACAAAACTCCTTGTAACACCAAAGATGAACTGAAGGCAAGTATCATGGCAGCATTTACAAACTTAAATGAGGAGACCATCCAGAAGAGATGTAGGAGATTCCAAAGTCATCTGGAGGCTGTGGTTGAAGGCAATGGTGATTTTATGAAATAAATTTACTTTTTGGTATTTCAAGATATTTTTGTGTAATTTTGGTAACTATATCTGTTAAAATAAGATGTCAGTGT